CTTAAGTTACATCCACTTCACTTCAATAAGAGCTTAATTTTCTCAACATTTCAAATGTAATTTCAAGTGATATTTAGATGTTTTAAGTGCGAGTGAGAAAAATATAGCAATAATTGATTTGTGAAAACGTGTGGATCTGAGATTAAATTAATTTAGCCAGTCATATTTATAGTTTAATCTATTAAAAACAAGTGTTTTATTTAAAATTATAATTAAATAAAATAAAACAAAACATTATATTAACATCATATGTCTCTGTTTTTGAACACATTTTATACAATTGTTTATAATTACGGTAACATTTTAACTATACTGTATTTTTACAATTTATCACATATTAAATGCAAATATAAAGTATTTCTAGACAATAGAAACCAATCAGTGCTTCACAACAAACTTATTGAACTCTAAATTTGTGATAATCTTCTCATTACTGAATTCACACCTTTCGATACGACTGTAAGGACTGCCAGTCTTTTGCAACCATTCCTTCCTAATAGTCAATAAACAAATCACATTTAGTTAGGGAGAGAGAGAGAGAGAGAGAAGACAAGTGTTTTTGAGATGAAATGTGTTTTTAAAAAAACTTGCATTTGAGGGATGGATTGGTCGTCACCCTGAATGGTGCCGATGACAGTGCCGTCCCTATGATTCATACAATACCCAAACACTCCCAACTGATCCGCCGCTTGTTTAGTGAACTGTTATATCAATGCAATCAAAGTGAACGCAATTATATGAATGAATGGATGAGTGGTTGGACACAAACCTTACGAAAGAAAACACCTGAAAGTGATAACAAGTGGTAAGATATGAGCAAATAGTGACAATCAATGACACAAACCCTGAACTCTGCCGAAGATCTTGAAGTCTACGGACAGGAGACGTGTTGAAGACATGTGGAGACAAAGGGATGCAAAGATCACCACAATTATGGTCACAATGAGAGTCCACACCAACACGTGACTCAACTTTAAATCCTTTATTTTGTTGACAAAATTCATTGCATTCAAAACCAAATGAAGCGAACTTTACACACGTTTTCACATACAATCCACAGTCAGTTGTGAGGCTCTGCACCGCTTTATATAGTCCTAAATGTTTGCAATTTATTATAAAATAAGTTAACTGTCAATGAATTGTCAGCACAGTTAACACATTTCATCATATATTTTGATATGCATTCAAATGCACATTTATATAAGACATTATATTTAACAGTGATTTTAGCACCCCTTTTATATTATAAAAACATACTATTTGTATGCAATACACGATTGAAGGGACTCGAAACCATTCCCCTTATATTTGTTACATTATCCACGAATTGCTCTCAATTTAAAGTTCTTGTAAAATGTGTTTACGTTTAATACAAACAGAAACCGAAAACTGGTTTCAAATGCATTCGTAAAATGTAATCAAATGTATGTTTAATTGATTGAGTGTTTAGTCTATTAGTTGAACACAACTTAAGTCTCGCATAACTATGCATTCAATGCACATATGATTTGGGCTTTAATTGAGTGATTAGTTGTGAACTGAAGTGTTGTCTGTTTGTTGGCGGAAGTGATGGCACTGATCCGAGCGGCCAAATATGCGACACTTCTTGGAGTGGGCGGCACTTCCCTCCATGTGTTGCACCGAAACGATTGGTATGTCATCTCAGTGTCACAACTGATGCTATTGACAGTTGATATGCTGTACAAGTGAGCATGGTCATATATGTGGTCATATAATGGTTGTCTGGTTGTAGGGACGCGCGTAACATAGGAGTGGTACGTATGGGTCGGGCGGCGGTGACTGTGAGCCAAATAGCGGTGGAC